CTGAAGCTCAGTAAAAGCAGCTAGTGCTTAAAGGCACGCACAGCCCACTGTGGACGGGTCTCTATACACCACAGACACACTCAACCTTCGCTGTATGTTTCTTTTCTCCAACGACTTTTTGTGATCCCTAAAGTCACTCAGGTCCGACTAACGCCTTGTGTCCTTCAGTGCACATGTCCCCGGAGCATATGCTACTCTGTAACCAACTCGGAGTTTTTGAGTTTTGCCCCTCCTACCTCGACACCTGCTTAGCCTTCTATCTTACTTCAATGGCCGAGGACTTGCACACCTCTGCTCACCTTTTTTGGTGTCTGGACTGCTCTGGGAACGTTTCAAAGTCTTTTTCGTTTGGCTCCGCCCAGCTCTCCTCACGCTCCACCCACAACGGATATGCCACGCACTTCTCAATCGGTGACCCATCATTGACATTAATCCACTTTTTTCCCGGTGTCTGGAGTGATCTGGAAGCGTTTTACGGATTTTTTTAGCCTGGCTCCGCCCACCCCATGCACGCTCCACCCACAACGGATGTGCCTCGCACTTCTCAACCGGTGACCCATCATTGACATTAATCCACTTTTTCCCGGTGTCTGCAGTGCTCTGGAGCCGTTTTGCGAATTTTAAAATCAGCCTCCGCTTACACCGGTGCACGCTCCGCCCACAACGGTGCACTTCTCAACGTGGACCGCTTCAGGACCATAATCCACTTTTTCGCGTCGTCTGTAGTGCTCTAGGACCAAACTACGATTTTTTAAATTAACACCTTACGTTTGAGGTCACGCCCCTCCCACTGTGGGCGGGTCACAGCACACCGCAAGATATGACGACCCTCTCGCCAGATGTTTGTCTTCGCCATAGACTTTTTGCGATCTCTAAACTCTCTCGGGGACCGAGTTACCGACATTTGTGGGAAGCACCGCCCATCTCGAGTACGCCCCGCCCATTTCGGGTGTGTCTCCTCCATTTGATGGGTCAACCCTTTGCCAACCTTAATCCACTTTTCCCCCATCTCGGGACTGCTCTGGAGCCGAATTATGAATTTTTTCAGTGAGACCGCTAACTTTCAACGCATGCCCCGCCCACTGTGGGCGGGTCACAGCACACCGCAGATATGACGGACTCTCGCCAGATGTTTGTCTTCGCCATGGACTTTTTTGCAATCTCTAAACTCTCTCGGGGACCGAGTTACCGACATTTGTGGGAAGCACCGCCCATCTCGAGTACGCCCCGCCCATTTCGGTGTGCCTCCTCCAGTTGATGGATCAACCACTTGCTAACCCTGTCCCACTTTTTCCTCATCTCGGAGCTGTTCTGTAGCTGAATTATGAATTTTTTCAGTAACACCGGAAGCAGCGCTCATTTCTACCA